TCCCTCCGCTTCTTCCTTCTGCTCTCGAATCTGCTGAAGGTCCATCCTAGTCCCATGATACCGTGCCGCTTATTATAGAAATCTGTTGGGAGGCCTGCAACGGAAAGGGCATGTCACTAAAAAGAAAAGCGGCTAAAAAAGACTGAAGCAAAGATGAATTTACCACCAGGGAATTCTGGATGATAAAGCGAAACAACACGTTCGTTGATCGCCCCCTGTGAGCCACCATGTCGGCCTCGAAATGCAGCGTCTCACTCACTGCATTGGTGACATGGGGGTCCTGTAAAATGGAGTCGTCGACCCTGATCACTCGGTTCATGTGATCAGTGGCTCGAGGATTCCACTCCGCGGCTTCCACTGTCTGCGGAAGGGGAGGAGGAGTCTGCTGTTGCTGCTGTTGCTGTTGTTGCTGAGGAGCGGGAGGTAACCCACGGCCTCTCCCACTTTGCTGTTGAGCGGAGGGGGCCTTGGATTCCCTGCCAAGGCCGTCGTGCCTATGTTTGACCCTTCTTTCCTCCTCTACCTGAGGATCCCGGTTACACACTTGACCCCGACTGACGACTCTTAAGGATGGGGTGGCGCTGATCCCTGCAGATGGGGCCCCACCCGCCGATCCTCGTCCCCTCCTGACAGCGAGGGCTTGCCTCTGCCTTAGGAACCCTAGATCAATGTGGGGCGTGCTGGACATAGCTACCTCGAGGGCGTCCTCGGCGTCTAAAGATTGTAGGATTTGGAAGTCCGGCCACGAATCTCTCCCCGAAGTCCCCACCTCGGCGTGCGAAGGAACCAAGTCCTCACTGACCCCGAGCTCTTCAACTTCACCCTCTACCTCTGCCTCCGAAGCTCGGTCAGGGTCTTCTTCCAAGTTCTCCTCGACCTCTTGCCTCACCGCCTGATCGAAGAGTTCAGACCACCGCGAAGGCTCGAAAGATTGGGGAAGCTATGAAAACTTTTTATATCCGAGAGTGTAATTCAGGAGGATGTGGGTAGCCCGGTTGAACCCGTCTTCACCAGTAAATCACCAAACTGTGGCTAGGTCGGCAAAGTTCACCAACGACCAGGGGGATGAGCTGTTTCCCGAGCAGGGACATCTGCACACAAACAAAAAAGAGAGGAGTCATGAACACAAAAAATCTCAAGAACAAAATAATAGACCCGAAGGAACCGACGTACTTATCATTCTCCATTCCGAAGGGCATAACAAGCCGTTATACTCGGGACCGACAACTCTCTGCCAAGATTCCTTGAAGATAAGTAGGGTCATCCTTGTACCCCTTGTCCGAGTCGAAAAGATGAGTTATGAGGTACATAGATGGGTCCCTGGCTTTGAGGTAGAAGTGTTGTTGAGGCATGACTCTCAAGAGGGAATATCAAAAAAGGAGATCGTTCAGTCCAACATTTACCCCGAGACGCCTATTGAGCTCTAGGACCCCCATAATTATCCTGAAGACATTAAGACAACACTGTCCGGGGAAGAGGTGGAAATGGGAGAGGAACTAGAGAAGTAGAGGGGGCAAAGGGAACCTAATTCCGCCCTCTATGATGGCTTTGGTATAAAAGGGCATTGCATCCTCGGCCCCGAGGGTACGAGAGTGCCCAGCCGGGTTATAATCCTCTATGTCTACGTATGGGGGGATGCTGTACTTGACCCTAAACCTATTAATTTGCTCACCACCTTTTACTTGATACTTCCCTGACCCCGAAGAACTGGCCTGAGGATTTTCGGGGGCAGGACGACGACGAGGCATCTCCAAGAAAGTGAGAAAAAGTGAAGGAGGGTGTTTTTCCCTCAAAGATCCCCAAGGAAGCTTCCCGAGGATTGGTCGCTAAGTGGCAACCAGAGACACCTCCAGTTATCGAAAAACCAAAAGGGACAGAAGGACGAAGAGAGGAAAGATACTGGGACTCACCAGAATGTAAAATGGAGTTTTTTCTGGAAAACTTGAGGCGACTCCTTCCAGAATGTTTAGAAGCAACGATAGGTCTGCTGGCCTTAAGACTTCAGTGAAAAGGTTGGGCAGTTGACAACGGAAGAAAAAAGATCTCCGACGAAGATTCAGGCGAGGGCTCTCTTAAGAAAGTTCAAAATGACGAAATGAGAAAAGAGGAGAGGAAACCCGTTTATATACAGTACCAATCCCATCATTGGGCGCGAAGCACGAAAAGGTGCATTTAATGCGCATGACGTCCTAAGCAGGGGAAAACTGCTAGAGGCAATGATGAAGCAGTTGGGGTTGTTGTAAAACCCTTCGTCTCCTTACGACGCGTGTCCTCGGCGTCAGAAGATCGAAGGCTGGGGGACAGTTGATGGGACATTTCTGAAATACTACAAAATGAAGACATGTGTCATCGGTGTCACTAAATCCTTGTTACTGAGATCACGTACCCATCGGTTCACAAGTTCCTCTCCCCCGAGGTACTTGTCATAAGGATCAAGTGGCATTCAGTGCGTTTACGTACCGACACGTATCCCTCGGTTTGATATGGATACATCGGTCGCTATATGTACCTCCCCTCGGGTTCGAGATGAACCTCTCCCTCGAGTCCGAGATGTACCTCCGTCCAGGGTGACGTTCTCTGCTCCTGTAGAGGCTATTGATTTACAGGTCACTAGCCTAGACTAGGCTAGATTAGCTATCATGACCTCGTCTTACACAATTGATGTCAGAAGGCACAGAAGGGCAGGGGACACAGCTAATAAGGAATGGACACGTGGCATATTGTGTCACATTAGAAACAGAAAGACCGGATGCCCTTGCTGACACACGATTTGGGAAATCAAACATTTAATTATACCATTCCTTTGATGAGACAACATTTAATGCGGTAAGGCTCGGAAGTGAAAGGTAATAAATGTCTCTAAGGCCGGACATTTATTACATCCTTGCCGAGAGGAGCTCATTGAATAGTCGGCAGGCTGATGACACAGCCTTGGTTGCTCGGGATCCCGAGCAATTAAAAGAAAAGACATTCCTCATTAGAGTCAGTGTGCACATTGCCTGTACCTAATGATCACCTACTGACTACACTGACAGCAATCATGAGTTTTTGAGGTATAAATACTCCTCGCAAAAGGCAAGACGATATGCAATGAAAAACCTTTGCTACAAATTATACTCAGTGTTTTCTTCTTCCTCTCTCTCAAAAACTGACTTGATCGTCGGAGGGGATACGTCGAAAAACACTCTGGCGCCCTTCTACCTTGTCTTTCTTTGTTCTAGGAACCTTCCTCAACCTTACTGGATCGTTCCGTTGATCCACGAGGGTCTCCCATTACCGTTCAAGGTTACCACCGGACCTTACAGGTTGTTCCAAGCAGCAGGGTTGACCACTCGACTGACTCACTCGAGTTCACCAAGAGAGAGATCTGTTCTCGTGTTTATATTGTGCAAGATCCAGCACGCACAGTAATGTCACGTGTTATAACCGTCTATTCATAAGTAAATAAATCAGCAAATATGTCCCACTAAAATTCATAACTATCTTGTCATCTATTGCATAACCATCTCCATGATAAAAAATGAACCCTATTTTATTATTATTTTTATTTTCTTATCGGATTGTTGCACCCAATTTCTTACTCCAATAATAAACCTTTTTTTTTTTCTAAAAATGGTTTCATGGGAAGTAAACTTTCTTTCAACTCCTCTCATTACTAAAACATTTAAAGAAATTATTAAAGCTCTTTCCTATTCAATTTTGCATTACTTCCTTAGGGCTGTTAATCTAACGAGTTCAAGTCGAGTTCGAGCCAAGTTTGAAAAACTTGTTTGTTAATCGAGTTTTAAAAATTGTTCAAGTTCGGCTCGTTTAGAAAATGAACAGAGCCTGAACGGATCGAACTCGAATCGAGCCCGAATATTTACACATAAACGAACTGAGCTTGTCGAGTTTGAGCCGAGTTTATAGGACTTGTTTTCTAAACGAGTTAAAAAACTTGTTCAAGTTCGAACTCGTTTAGAAAATAAACTGAGCCTGAATGAGTCAAACTTAAGCCAAACTCGAATAGCTCAGTTTGATTAACGGCTCTATTTCCTATGGTTTTTTGAATCTAGGTTAAGGTTTTTAAAATTGTAATGAAATATGATAATAACACAAGTTTAAAATGCACGAACTTGCAATTGACTGTCGGTGCATTTTGATTGGTAATCAGTGCAATTGGTTTGCCTATAAGCAATAGGTCATTTGCCTTTTTATTTAAGGAAAAAATCGAGTTAATGGTAATCATATGTTAAAAATGTACATGAAGATGTTTCTAATTATTACTCTTATGATGAGTAAATAATTATTTTGAACTAAAACGTGATTTTTCTTAAGAACAAACAAGACTAAACCAATTATTATTATTGGTCTTTTGGGGTCTTATTTTTAGAGTAAATTTTGCTTAAGTTTTTTTTTGGAACGTTTAAATTTTGAATTTAAAATATTTAAATCAATATTTTCAAATGAATTTTAATTTTTTTTTGTGTTACACAGTGATTTCAAGCATAAGTACCTCATTAATTTTTTTATATTGAAAAGTGTGATTTTAAATTTTTTATTATTAAATTAACTTAAAAAAAATAAGTTAAATATTATGGATATAAAATTAAGTTTAAAAATTTAAGGAAAAATACCGCAAGAAGTTCCCCGCACTGCGCAACCCCAATTAGTACTAACCAACAAATTTTTTTCCTGAAAATTAAAGTTTACGTTATTCACTAATACGATAAAAAAAAATAAAAAATTAATAAAACATAAATTCTTCCTGAACTAATCTTAAAAAAATAAAGAAATTTCGAATAAAATATCTTAAGTTTGCAGCTGATCCTGGCTCCATCGGGCTACCCGGTTCTAAGCCACAACTAATGAGCACGTCAATGCGTTATATATTTAAGGGCAACCAGCTCAGATACCTCTAGACAGTCTGTCTTGTCTCATGGACCCGTTTCCCTCTGCTTAGTTTTCCTCTCTCTCTCTCTCTCTCTCTCTCTCTCTCTCTCTCTCACACACACACACACACACACACACATCCTCTTTTATAGTGACTGCTTCTTCTCTTTCTCTCTCTCTCTCTCGCCTATAAATCTCAATGCGTTTTGCCAGAGGTCGGCTCAATCCTCAATCCTCAATTCTTGCTGCTTTTCATGGCTTCGATCTTCGAATCTGCTTGGACGGTATTCTTTTCTACTACTTTACTTACTATTGAATTGATTGCCTATCGCTCGTCAAACGTTCGAGAAAATTCTTTAACCACCAAGATTTGATGTCTTTGGTTTATATTCTGCCACCACATTCGAGAATTTGCGAGTTTTGGATCTATTGAAATTTATAAATCTCCCAGATTCTAAGTACATACACACATGCACAAGGCTTACAGATGCGTATATGTATACATCTATACACACGTTTGCATATTTTTATGTATACATGTCAGCATATAGCATTATTTCTATCGTCTACCCTCGAGTGAATGGCTGTAAGTTAGGTGGATCCCATTTACCTCTTTATTAATTTTCCCTAATGCAGTAATGCTATACAAACTTTTATTTGAAAATAGTTATGGAAGGGGGATTGAAAATACTTATTCAGTTGATTTGATAGCTGCTTCACCAAAAAATAAGGCATTGCCTATGCTTTATGATTAATGTAAGGGTCAAAGTTTACACTTGATTTCTATTTGGTCCCCGAGCTATAAATTAAAACAATCAAGTCTTTAAACTTTAATTTCTATTTCAATTAAGTCCCTTAGTTTAAATTCATCAATAATTCTAAAGGAAAAGAGTCACGGAGCATAACGTGATCCAATTATGGGATTAATTTTGAATAAGTTGGCCCTAGGGTTTGAGTTTATGTATTAAAATTATATTTGCTGACTCATTTGATATAAATTTGAGGACTTCAATTCGGATGTATTAGCTCACCTTTTAAAATTTGACTCATTTATGTTAATTTGCTCAAAATCATGTGATACTTTTTCATCATAATTACTGATGAATTTTGACATAGGGAGTTTATTGAAACTAGTCATAAAGTTCAAGGACTTGATTGTTGCAATTGATTGGATTGAGGGACCAAATAGAAATTAAGTGTAAACTTTGAGGGTGTAAATTGTAAATTCAACCTTACTGTAATTGGGTGAATTTGTAGTATATGGTTGTTGGATCTGTGTTGACCCTCGATATTTGATGAGGTTCTGTTCCTACTGTAAGTAAAGGACATGTTGCAATTGATGGATAAAGGTAAAGGATATGGGTGTCATGCATGCAAGCAGATCATCAGTAATTAGACTTTAGTAGTTCTCAGTTACGAGATGCCAAGACCTTATCTAATTGCATGTTATCATTAGCCATGAATCATACTTCCTGCTTAGGAAAAAAAGATGTGACATAGAGCTAGGTATGATATGTTCATGTTAGAACTTACATTTATTTTAGGAATGCCAAACACCTTGTTACAGTTTTTCAGACCCACAATCAGGAGATTTGGTCATGATGCCAGACATTACAGAATCCTTTATTTTTGGGGTTGGAGTTTTAATATTCTTATTTTTCTAATGGAATGGGGAAATTTTGTCTCAATTTCTTGCCTCGTAGTTTAAAATTAATATTATTATTATTTCCTGACTTGACTACAGAATGGGCTTATGTAGGATAAGGCCGACCTTATTTCCTGCTATCTTTGTTAGTAGTTAAATTCTTATCTGTTAATGATGCAGTATCTTGTCACTCATTATAGCGACTTTCAACTGGCATGTCTTGGAAGCTTCTTTCTACATGAAAGTGTCTTTTTCTTATCGGGACTTCCGTTTATTTATTTTGAAAGGGCAGGATGGTTGAGCAAGTACAAAATTCAGGTTTGTGCCTATTCTCTTATTGTCTTTTTAGCTGCTGATGAATGTAATAATTGTTTCTTTTTCAGTTAGAAACCCAAGTTGCTCTGATGGCTAGTGTTCTCTATTCTCTTTTGTCAAATTCTTTATAACAGTACCACATGCTAATATTGTTCTAAGCCAAATTTCTTTTATTGAGGTTACCCTGTGATGTTGACTAACCTTCTGTGGAGATTGTTTATCTTTTAATGTTGCTGATTGCCTCTTTTTCAAATGACCGGGGCTTGATAAAGCTAATGAACCATTGCACAGTTTCGATTTGCAATTAAATTGTTTTCAATAGACATGCAGTTCAGCTGTAGTCTTGCTGGATGCAAAATGTAAAGTAATTCTCTAGTTTGTCCCGTTGGTGAGTCAGAACTTGCTGCAAATGCTCCTTCATGATGTCACAAATGTATGCCTGGTTGTGGAGTTAAAACTTGCTCAGACCAAGCCGATCATAAGCTTGAGGCCAATAATTATTTTCTGCTCATCAAGTTGATTTTATACTAAGTATTGCTTTAAATATTGCAAAATGGGGCAGTAATGATGCCTGCATTATGACATCCATTGTATTTGACTAAGAATTATTCTTAGAAAATGAGAAAGAACAAAAATTTGATACATTTGGCATTTGTGAGTGCTATCGTAGTTCATGCACATTTTTCTATCCTGGTGTTAAGCTTGGAGGGACTCTTAACCCTTCAGAGGCTTTTCTTATGGGGTGGTCTTGATGAGATGTTTAAACACCATATGGTGGATTGAGAACCAGTGTGTTTGTCCGAAATAACGCTTTTCTTGAGAGAAGGAAGGTCAAGTTGTCCAACCAAGTATTATGCACCAAGTTGTTGGGGCATAATTAGCTGGAGGGTAACCTGGAGAGGTTTTACAGGCTCACGTGCATATTCATAAGAGCAAAGGAAGGGATGAGAGGACTTCTCCAATTAGCCTAGTTTTTGTCGTGAAATTATGAGGTTCTAGCATGATGCTTGGTGCAGGGACAGAAAAACTAGAAAATTTTGAAAATTTTTCCCACCACTCCCAATGATGGCAAATATGTGCACAATCTTAGAGTTAATCCGCTCTTTTGTTTTGCTAAAACTGCATACCAAGTCAAGGTGGACAATGAAATAGTGACGGATGGATTGCATACTTAAATACATATCAGGGAAGAAAAACAGTGGTTGGCTTTACATTGTGGCATAGATTTATGTTCTAGTGTGATAGTGAAAGTTGTTGAAATGTTTAAAGTGTTAAAAGTTTTCTTTTGTGCATAGATGAGGTCCATTCCACTAATGGCATCTAATTTTCCATGTTTATTGATGTTATATCATTTTCTTATTATGTCATAGTTGTTTCAACCTCATCTTGCTGGACTTATATTTGTTTGTATGATTGATTTGTGGTTCTGTGCAGACTAAAAATAACACCCCTGCAGCTCAGGAGAAATGCATCACTCGCCTAGTGTTGTACCATCTTTGCGTCAACTTACCAGTCATGATTCTTTCGTATCCTGTCTTCAGATTCATGGGCATGCGAATCAGTCTCCCCTTGCCGTCCTGGTATTTTCAGGTTCTTTATGCACTAAAGCTTAATAATCCAGACATCTCCATTGCATCTAGATTATTGCCATGCCAATTCTGTCAAATATTGTACAGTTTTTTTAATATCTAGAGGAACACTAATATATTTTTTTTCTTTTGTGGAGTGATTAATGAAACCTTTGGTTGTGTAGGAAAGTGATTTCAACACAAATTTTATTCTACTTCATCCTGGAGGATTTTGTATTCTACTGGGGCCATAGGATTTTACATACAAAATGGCTGTACAAGCATGTCCACAGTGTCCATCACGAGTAAGTGAAAAGCATTAGGTGTGCTTTATGAATTTTCCAATTTTTGAATGTACATTGTATCTAATTCATATCATACATGCACAGGTATGCAACACCATTTGGATTGACTTCTGAATATGCTCACCCTGCTGAAATACTCTTCCTTGGATTTGCTACTATTGTTGGTCCTGCCATCACTGGGCCACATCTGATAACACTATGGTTGTGGATGGTACTTAGAGTCCTGGAGACAGTTGAGGCACATTGTGGTTATCATTTTCCATGGAGCCTATCAAACTTCTTGCCTTTATATGGCGGGTTAGTATAGAGATATTCTTTCTGCTCGCTCCATTGCAGCCTTTGTTTGTTATTTGTGTCCCTGAAATATATTTATTTTGCAGTGCTGATTTTCACGACTACCATCACAGACTGCTCTATACCAAGTCTGGCAACTACTCATCGACTTTTGTTTACATGGACTGGTACGGTTGTCATAGGATGGTTAAAGCATATCCTTTCTGTACAAATTTATATTTGTTGCTCTGTGCAATGGTTATTGACAAAAAGTATGGTGGAAGCTAGAAAAATTTATATCATTTTTAGTGGCAGCTTTTTAAATACTTGTCTTCATTCCCTTGTGAAACTAGATTTGATGCTAAATACATATTTTTCTGATTAAACTGGAACTATCTGATACTTGTTGATGACCAATTGCTTTTGTCTGTCAGGATATTTGGTACTGATAAGGGTTACAGAAAATTGAAGGCACTGAAGAGTGTTGGAGATGAAGCTGAGGTCAAGCAATCATAATAGCGATGTAGAAAATAAAATTTGTTGGCTGCATCGGCATCACATGATGGGTTGGTTCTTAACCTAAGAGTGTCTTGGCAAAGTTCTAGTTCGGTTCCTCTCTTTTGCAGCTGTTTCTTATATTCATGTCTAATTGCTGTTCTGGACTACATTGCTTGTGTAATGTGGAATCAATTCAAAGCTGTTTTTGGATCTGCCCTGCTATCCGCTTACAGGAATGAATTTCATGTCGTTTCATTTTTCTTGATATTAAACACCGTCCTGAATTTGAATCTTAATAATTTTTTAGGACCAGATCATAAGGAATAAATTCCCATAAATATTTTAATTTTGACGTAGATGATTTATCTTTGATCGGATTAAGGGGAGATTAGTCGAGGTGTGCATAGTCTAAAAATCTTTAACCATTGAACTAAAAAGAAAATGCTTAATCCGGTCACTATTTGTGCCTAATATTAGGATTGTGTCAGTGCCACATTCCTTCAGCGGTGGACCACTTCCTTTTCAATTTTCTGCATTTATAGAAAGCTCCAGCTCATGAATCAAATATAACCAGAGTTGCTCCAAAGTACACAACCACCAGTTTCAGTATTTTTCTTATTTGCCAATGTTACACAGATATCATCAACCTAATCATCGATGTATTTGATAGGCTTAATTCACATCGACCTCAGACCTGGGCTTGTAATGGAGGCTAATCCCAGCAGCTTATTAAGTGCACCCTTTTAATCATTCAAACATAATCTTCAGTTAAATGACAAACATGCACGAAGGAATACAACTGCACAAGGCATGAAAGGAAATCTCAATCCATCTATTGGCCATAATACAATGAAGATAAAACAACACAGGTTAAGCGTAAACGGGTCTGGATATCTTTCACCGTTGAACCCAAAAAAAGAAACAATAAAATATTTGGTAAATCAGATTCATGATCTAGTTGACAAACTACAGCCTCTAATTCAAAAATGAAATTAAGAAATAAACACACGAGAATACTTGGGAAAAAAATTTTGTCTACAAAAGTGAAAGTATAGACATGAAAAGTTGCGACTCGCTCTTTCTAGTCATGTCTTGGATAGAAGCCATTCACAGACATTCCACCATCAACACAAATTATCTGGCCGGTTATGTAAGATGATGCAGGAAGGCAAAGGAATGCCACGAGGGATGCAACCTCTGTTGGATCTCCAAGACGCCGAATTGGAGTTCTATCAAATACCTCTTCCAGGTATTCTTTGTTAGCCAGCACCTGGAATTAAAGACAAAATTGGGAAAACAAAATGTACAATGGTGAAATTGGCTGAATAAAAATTCTCCCATAAGTTTATCAAAATGCACACTGCAACTAAGTCCTCTGCAATCATTTCCATCTAGTTCTAGCAACCACTCGTGTGGGACAGAGGAATGAAAGAAAATGCATGGAGATATTAGTAGCTTTCTTTTTTATATAGGGAGATATTAAGAGACTGCCCCATAGAACGAAATTTTTTTTTTTTTTTTTTTGGGGTGGGGAGTTACAATTGGTTAAATAAAACTGCAAATTACATTAAGCAGGGTGAAATGGAACTTACTTGCTCCACCATTGAGGTTCTGATGTACCAAGGTGCAACCGCATTACTCCTGATATTGTCCTTTGCCCACTCACATGCCAAATTTTTTGTAAGTTGATTAATTGCTCCTGCAAGCAGCAAGCAGGGTAACAAATTATGCATGTTTTCATTGAACTCTTCAAGTTACAAGTGAAATCTTCAAATAAATCTGATCACATTGGTAGATTACCTTTAGTTGCTCCTTGGACAGACATAGACTTCAGTGACACAAAACCAGAGACAGAGGACGTAAATACCACACTTCCTGTTCCTGATGCTTTCAATAGAGGATATGCAAGTTGGCACATATGGAAAATAGATTCAAAATTGGTTGCCATCAGTGTGGAAAATTCTTCAGCTGTGAAGTCTACCATAGGTTTCCGTATATTTCTTCCAACATTATTTATCTACTGATCCAAACCATGAAGCCAGTCCTTTTATTACATAACCATACAGGATAAGCCCAACAAAAGTGATGCAGTTTAATGGTTTTCTGCAAGAAGTTACCACCACAAATCTATTTCTTACAAAAAATGGAATCACTTTTCTCAAAAAAAGAAATTCAAAGCATCTGATGGCTAACTAAAGGATGAACATTGCAAGGGAAACTAAAGCAAAGCAGCAGAAAACAAGATTTTTTCCAAAGAACAAGTGGTTGACATGGATGCAAATGAATGGGACGGTAAGTATTCTATGTTTTTAAGTCTTTCTTGTGAGAAATCTCACAGAACTATCTTTTCTAATTTAAAATTTTTTGGCACTTGGCATTATTCACATCACACATTCCATGTTCACAAGTCTAATGAGCTGACATGAATCTGGTCATAAAATTACGGTGAGGTGCAAGAAAGACAGGCCCGATGCAAAAGAAGCTGCATAAAGGTTCAGAAGTAAAGGAGGATTTTGGTTTATAGAAGGAACAAATGCCTGAAAACAGGGTAAACTCCATGTTCCCAATACACAAAATTTAGCCATTTAAAAATTCAGGGATCCATTAGTTTATCTTCTTTGGAAGAAAAAAGTTAAAAAGAAGCAAGAATTTAAATCTAAGAAAAATACTTTTTCAATTTGAAAGGGACCATTGTACATCAATAACTGAAGCTACAGAGGATACCCTAAGTTTGGTGCTTTTGAATGAAAAATACGAAGTACAATAAAATCCAGAGATAAGTAGGATCTTATGGATCTGAATGGTGTTATTTATCATCAGTTAAGGCTCCTTAAAAGAAGATCACTATTCCATTTTGATGTCTATTAAGTTTTGACTATATAATACATAAAAGCTGACCATTATTGTACAACATAGTAAAATACAGAGCTTACTGCATTCTTGTGCCCCACATCAAAATGGTCCTTCCATCAGCCCTCATATGGGCATTTTCAGCAACAAGAATAAAATTTGTGTTGCTCTCATCTACATGGTGCTTCTCCACTTGGTCCACTAGCTACTCGTTATATTATTCTTTGTACCAAAAGCTATTCATCTCACTCTTTTGTTACAATGACTGCCACCATTTTCAACATTATTTTCCAGTTGGCTGCCTAACCTTCCAAGGGAAGCCACTCTTCTCAGACAAAGCCAGGAACCCCTTTTCCCAACCCATCCTACCCCAACTTTATGAGCACAAGGCTGAATACAGGGTAGAAGTTGATAAGATAACCTAACGTGGATTCTAAGCAAGGTCTTACTTAATTGAACCTGCCTTTCTTACATTTTTGGGCAACCACGTGATGGCTACCTTAAAATTTTGGAGTCACACTTCCTGGATCCATGAGAATGTACTCATAAGGACTCCATTCTAATTATGCCACGAGTTCAAGAGTTCCATAAAAAACAGCAACAATGTAATTGATGAGGAACCCACACCATCTTGGTATATATAACTCGACGGACCCGACCAATCACAGAATGGATCCTCCATCCTAACCAGTCCCATTAACCATTTATTATTCCTCAATATAGAAGGGTAGTTCATATGCAAACACATGGAGACTGAGAAAGAGCTGACATATAATGAATTGCAATATTGATTTTTTTACAGCATGGTACAAGCTACACTCCCAAGCACAAGGGCCATCACATGTGATCATGCCCAAGATAGCCAATGAAGCCAACAAAAGTGTGCCATGTCCATTCCTGATGCTAAGGCATCCAATGCCCCAAGAAGGTCAATAAGACTAAATATATAATTCATTCTTGAGATACCTGTATGTTACCCCCACGATGGTTGTTTATTGTGGGTTCTAATGAGTCTTCCTAAGATATGATAGGTTAATCAGCACCAACATAGCCTTTAATTTTATTAGCTGTTCCAGCTTGGCATCCTCTCTCTTGTATTTTTCTCACAGCTTGACTTCCAACTCGGACTTACTCTAGATCCTTGTTAAGCACATGAATCGCATCTGGGATTCTCTCCCAGTGACTATTATAAACAAAGGACCTGCATTCATACAAAGCAGACAGAGAGCTCAGGCTTCGTTCTCTTCTTTCTGTCCATGCTTCCTTCCATAGCAATGGTACATTGCAGGGGCCATAGCTCAACACCCCATGATATTGTTTAATGCTCAATTTTTGGGTTACTCAGACCTCCCCTTTTTCCACATTCCTCTGGGACATTCCATCTATGCATAATGCCTCCATTACAAGGACCATAATTCCCCTTTATGCCCTCTTACCCTCACTCCTCTGTCTCTCAGTGGCTACTTTTAGGCAATGGTATAGCCACATAGACAAGCCCATGCTCATTTTTCCTTCAAAAAGTTAGCCAGTTACTCTTCCAATCTCTTGTTTTGCCGGATGACTCTCATTGGTTGATCAACTCACAAAGTCATTCAGAATGAGTCCATGCAACCAAATTTCTAGGCTGGGCAATAAGCTCTTTATGTCTTATAATTAGACGAAATACTAACGTTGACCAATTCACTTAGGAGTCCATCCAACTGCCCTCGTATTACATAGGCATTCTACAGCCACATAATTCTGAAAAAACTAGGCTAACTCATAAATTAGAATTGAATGAATTACCGTTAGAAAGCCCAAACTTCAAATTTCATTAGGTCCCAATCCCAACTACCGATCAATAAACTTGAACTACTTTTGTCAGTAATTCTTGTTTTATGTCACATTAAAATCCAAAGAATAATATTTATTTGTGTAGATGTTTACATAATTCCAAGCATTAATCTCTTGTAACTAGGTGTAATAGTTTCCATTAATCATTAATTTCTTGTAATACCCTGTCAAACTTATCTTTCTATGTCAACATATTGTACTCCGACTGTGCAAAAAACCAGTTAGAGAAATTCTTGACATAGGAACAAAACAATGAACCATACCAATTGCTAAGAAACCAAAAACAAAAGAGTGAAACTCACAAGAATGTTGAGATTCCCATTGAACACAGATGAGACATCTTCCATTAGCTTCTCACGATCGGTTCGAGACGACACGTCGCAGACCGAACCAGTGACTATAAAACCCTCCTTTTCCCAACTCCGCAAGCATTTATAGAGCTCAGCTTCATTACGCGCACATGTATGTACTCTCGCCCCAAATCCTGCCAATTCTTCCACAATTGCATGCCTGTACATTTACCCAATTCCACTTCAAAATTAGGGTTCTAGAAAAACCAATCTTTGCTATAAATTTATCAAGTGTGTGAGAGTATAAAGATCGAGACCCAATGCCCCTGGTGCCTCCGGTGACAAGACCCGTCATGCCATGAAGAGACCATCTACTGGCTCTGTTTGGCTTCGACATTTCAGTAGCAGCAATGGCGCTATTTGAAACTCGAACTGAGCTCTGAATTGATAGATTTCCATGGTTGATGGGTTCTGAAAGTCGAAGCTTGAGAGGCACTGTCACAGTGTTTGAAGACAGAGAAGGGACGAGGGTCCGAGACATTTGGGCTTGCTTTTCGCTTGCTCGCAAGAGAGCACTATTTACCTATCAAAATTAATTACATTTTAGACCCCTAAAGTTTCTTGCTAGTTTTATCCTACCCCTAAAATTTGCATAACTCGCATTGTCAATCAAAACTTTTAAATTTGTTACAATGTTATCTAATTGACTGGTTGTGGCTGTTTTTTCTGCCTGCAATTCCTTCAATGGCACTCACAATTTCGTATGGATAGTGAAAAACAAGGCCACAATCCAAATTCAATTTGAAAGCTTGATTCTGAATATTCGACGAAGTCAATTTTCATAATTCACATTTAGAAAATCCCATCAGAAAAATTGTTTCGATTCAAACACAATTCATGGTAAACATTAGAATATTAAAATTTAAAATTTCAACTCGTCCTGATCAAATAATAATTCTACTTTATCATTATACAATAATTATGATTGAGTTATAATTGTATTAGATATAAATACGTTCAGATGTGAACAAATATGAGATAAGATATTCGAATTATAGGTTAAAATTTTCATTTATATTCAGCCAATTAGGTTTAAATCGAATTAAAATTATATAAATTTGACTGTCTGTTCCTAACCTATTCTTATGCATAGATAAAAGATTAGTAGAAATTTATACCACGAGCGAGTGTGAGCTTCAAATTAACTCGAAAGCCTCTTGCTCCCCTCCTTAACTACACATAGAATTTAAAAATTATTAGCGTAGCCACACCTGTCAACAACAAAAATGCAGGACATGATAGGTGAGAGAGGGACACTATTATTATTATATATATATATATATATATATATATGTGAAAGAAGTGTGTTGATTAGTTTAAGTACATCTCGATTAATTTTTTTTTTTTTGATCCGATCAAAAGCAAGCGTCCATGCTGGGAGACTAAAGTATTTGAACTCAAAACGTCTGAATTTACAACTTCTTTCTATTATCACTTTAACTACCTTTTAAAGTTATATATATTTGCAGACAAGTCGAGGGGATTATTCTATCGTTCAAAGTTTGAGGGACGGCACTATCATAACAAACTATGGCCAAATGGGAGACGGAGTATTTTAGAGTAATTTTATGTTAGGAATTGTATAAATACCGTTGGGACATTTATCCATTAATGTTATTTAGTCCCTTTTTGAAATAGTAAAACTGAATGTTCTATATATATTGTCTTTGGCGTACTCACTGGTTCATGCAACTTTGTCATCTCAGGAGTGATATGATTCTACTTTAACATAAAAATAGCTACTTTGGGAATTCTTCTCGTAACCTGACAAATGCTTGAACCAAAACCAACCCAACAATAGATGATCCAAATAGCAGGAATTTGCCATGAAACAACGGCTGACCAACCCATGTGATTTCAGGTTCGAGTTCGACCCGACCGTGACCATTATTGATTGCGTTTTTATGCGTGTCCCACTCTTCAAGAGTAATATTAGAGCGTCTCCAACAACAAAATACATTTTACTTACTCAAAAATAGTATTTTCTATTTTACCTATTCACTTTTTCAATACATACTCCAACAGATTTTTTATATTTTTAACTACTCCTTTTAAATATTATTTTTCATTCCTTTTGTATTATTTTTTTTTTAAATAATGAAAGAGAGAAAGAGAGAGAATGGAAGAAAGGAGATGAAGAGAGAGAAAATAATATATATAATATTTACATATTGCTACATTGACACTCTATATTTAGAGTGTCATTATAGCAAAAATGTATTTTACATAATATGAACAACATCTGTTGGAGATGAATTTTAGCTCCCAAATAACTAAATTTTGGCTCTAAAATAACTAAATTTTAGCGATTTTACTCATTTGAAGCATCTGTTGAAGATGCTCTTATTAGCTAGAGTCGAATTTGAAAACCCAATGCATTTTAATCATTAAACAGTAATGCTAGACTAATCAAATTTTGTGACCAAATTTGAAGTCCAAATGATATGACAGTTGACTTGAACTTCTTTGATTGGTGTGATATCATTTGGACTCCAATAAAAACTTCAAATAATCAATTACCATGTCATTTGGTCCCAAAATTTGATCAGTGTACCATTATTCATCATTAAATTATTGATGAATTTAGTATTAAATAAAATTTGCTAATAAACTACGAGTAACGCTACACTGACCAAAATTTAGAATTAAATTTGGAGTTCAAATGACATGACAGTTGATTATTTGAAATTTTTATTAGAGCCCAAGAAGGTTAAGTCAACTGACATGTCATTTGAGCTATAAATTTAATCTCAAAATTTGATCAATCTAACATTACTGATAAACTAATGATCACGGTGAATTAAGCCCTCCGCCCACCCAAATTATGTCAATGGGATCTTTCGTTATTCGGCTATATGCTATTGCTGTGCCTTTTTTTTTTCATGACCCCCTAAATTTAATTCTAGTTCGATCTAGTGTTTCAGCTCCATACCATCAAGTGATTACTTCTTTTTTTCTATTTAATTTGAAAGAGAAGGGAAAGAGAAACTTAAACTCTTGATCTCAAGAAAATAAAATTTTTATAAAATAAAGAATATTATTGAACCAAAAACTCGTTGGTGCATCAAAAACTTATTAAAGCATTAAAGCACCGTCCATGATCCTTCTGTCACCGATCAAGAATACAACAAGTGTTCCTACCTCACACAAGCAAAAAAAAAAAAAGTGCTCCTATAACCCCTTACCCCCCCCCCCCCCCCTCTCTCTCTCTCTCTTGCATCGAGGTTTGATTATGTTTGCATTTGTAGTGTATTCTGTATCGGTTATTCAAAGATAGCAGGAGAGGAATATCCAATGAAACAGAAAGTCCAAGAGGGAGGGACGTCGAACACGATTTATATTTTTATGGTACTTTACCACCATGCATGAATTGAGGACACTTCACGCGTGTCTTTTTCTACGTAGGATTTCCATGCAACGTTACACATTACAATTGGCTGAAGCTGACATATACATCAATATTAAACATGGTATGAGTTAAAAGAATAATTTTTGAATCGATGAGGGTCCCATTGAACATTAAACTTGTTCTTCATCTAATGATTTCAATTAAATTATATCATTAAATTAATAAATAAGATTAAATTTTTAAGTTTAAATAACATTACCAAAATTAAAAATACGTTTGAGATATTTATACCAACTTAACCAGAGTTTTAAGTGGGTCCCACTGCATTAGTTATGGATTAGTTCAGTGTGGTTAGGTTACACTCATTCACCACGCAAAAGCCGAATCAAAATATTCCACACATTTGCTTATTAGTAGGGCTAGCAAACATTTCTGAATTTATTTTTTTTTTGATCAAAACACGCAAAGTAAAAATATTATTTAGTAGAGAAATTAAGATTACAATCAGTCAAAAATAAAACCGTAAGTTCGGAGGGAGCCTAACCAACTCAAGGAGAGCAAATTGTTTAACATAGTAGTTACCACCTAATGAACAACTTGGTTACAAGCTCTAGGTTTGTGTAAGAAGTTAAGATTGTATGACCTAGCAAACATTTCTGATTGAATATTGCATTAGTGTCATGTATATATCACATTTTGTCGGGTTCAAGGCTGAGCTAGAAAATATACCTTGAATGGTTACTTTAATAAATTTAATATTTTTCCTCTCAAGCAATCAATATAAGCAATATGATATATTTATATTTATTTAAATCATATTTGATTTTTAAAAATTTATTGCAAACAAAGGGTCAAAACCTATTGTACTTTTGTTCTCAAATAAAGACATGTCACATTTTACTCTAGAGAAGCATAATTCTTAGAGTTTGTATAGTTATCGAATGACGTGTAATCACCGATTATGCCTCTCTCTCTATCGCTTGCTCATTTTAGCCTCACGAGAATGATCTGTCATACATATATATTTATAGTTTAATTTTTTTTTTATCTCCAAACAATATATAGTTGTATGCTTGGATGTTGATTTTTGATACACTTACAAAATAACCCTTATATACATAACGATCCTAATTTTTATATAATGATAAAATACCCTTACAACTTTCTAAAATTTTATAAAATAATTTCAATATGTTCAAAACTTCTCGGGGGGACCCGGTGTATTCAAAGTGTGTCCAAAAAATCAACAATCCTCTAAATATGGGTCTTTTTGAATTGACAGGACAAGAAAATAATTCGATGAGCATAATTAAATCTTCATTAGAAATTATTTATAATATATGTAGATTACTTTAAAAAAAAAAAAAAAATTGAGGGTGGATATTGGCCTTCAAGGGGGTCCACCACTGATCGGATTATTATTATGTTTAGTTAAATTCATGCCGATTTATTGAGTAAAAGTATGAAAGATTACTCATTTATCACTTCAACTCTAATTAAAAATAAATAGAGTATGAATAAGAGTAGCTGACAGGGTACCAGTACCACTTTCATCATACCGTTCATGAGCCTGCCACGGGGCAAGCAAGAACCGGGACGGTGATAGCTGGCACATCATGGAAGTTTAACACCAGGCCAGCGACGGTTTACTTTGTGTTTTATGTATTGCTTAATAATATTTTCACAGACTAAAATGCCCCTCATTGGATCTCTTCAGAAACGGGCATTAATCTGTCAACAGCCCATTCTCATCTGTACTTCTGTCTGTGTAAAGGATTGTTGACCAACAAGGCAGCAGGGACGGCAGTAAAGAACAGAAACCCTAAAGGGCATTACTGGAAATTGGAAAAGATCTGGGGTCATGGCTTAAGGTCTCCATGATCATAAAAGAGAAATAAACCTTTTGGTGGGTTAATGTTCTTGATTCCACTTAACTAATGATTTAACGGGAAATGATTGAATATGGTAGAAGACGTGAATCTTTAAATTACTGTTTATTATAGAGTAGAGTGATGGGATTTTCTGAAATGCACCATGATGAAGACACGTATCTTCGGTATTACCAAAACACTGTTGCTAAGATCGAACACCATCGGCGCACAAAGGTCCTCGCCCCCGAGGTACTCGT